CCCCGTCGGGAGCAGAGGAAGAAGCTGCCGAGGAGCAGCCCGAGGCCCCAGAGTCTGAGACAAGCCGCCGCCCCCGCCGCCGCCGCCGCGGGGAGGAGGAGGAGGAGGAGCGGGAGGAGGGACGAGCTGGTGGAGAGAAGAGGAAAAAAGTTTTGAGACTTTTCCGCTGCCGCTGGGAGCCGGAGGCGCGGACCGCTTGGCGCGGCGCTCCCCGCGAAGAGGCAGGTCTTGGGGACCCCAGACCGATCCCCCACACACCGCCTCGGACGCCCGCTCTCTCCCTGCCCTCCTACGCGGCGTTTCCCGGGCGCCCCCATTCCGGACCAGCCCTCAGGAGCCGCGGATCCGACTCCCGCGAAGACTTGACCCCAGACTTCGGGCGCACCCCTCTTCTTGCTTCCCCCAGCCTCTCTTTTGCGCCCCAGCGCATCCAAGGACCCTTTCTCCTCTGGAATCTGGAGACAGGATCTCTCAGATCTGCCTCAGCTCCCCCATTCAGGACCATCCACCTCTGGTACCAGACTCCTCCATCTCGATTTCTTCCGTGGTATACAGAGACACCACCCCCTGAGTCCCCCCCTCTCCCCCCGTTCTACCTGAGGGCCAGCCTTGGCCTCAGCCCCTCTTACCTTCCCCGGGAGACTCCCCCGGCCCCTGCAGGGGCGGGGCCTCCTCCTCCTACCCCAGCCCGGCCCGCACACTCGGCTGTGCCGGGGGCGCCGCCTCCTCCATGCCGCCCTCGGGGCTGCGGCTGCTGCCGCTGCTGCTGCCGCTGCTGTGGCTCCTAGTGCTGACGCCCGGCCGGCCGGCTGCCGGACTGTCCACCTGCAAGACCATCGACATGGAGCTGGTGAAGCGGAAGCGCATCGAGGCCATCCGCGGCCAGATCCTGTCCAAACTGCGGCTCGCCAGCCCCCCGAGCCAGGGGGACGTGCCTCCTGGCCCGCTGCCCGAGACCGTCCTGGCCCTTTATAACAGCACCCGCGACCGGGTGGCCGGGGAGAGGTCCGAGCCGGAGCCCGAGCCCGAGGCTGACTACTACGCCAAGGAGGTCTCCCGCGTGCTAATGGTGGAATACGGCAACGGTGAGCCCCAGGGGCAGGGGGCCCGGTCGGGGAGTGCCCAGGGGGCGCCGGAGTGCTGGGGTCCGAGGGAGGAAATTACGGGCGGGGGAAACTGCCCGGAGAGAGAGGACCTGCGCGGGCGCTGGGAACGTGGGCGGGGGTCCCACAGAATAAGGGCCGCCGAGCTCCCTGCCCCCGAGATGTCCGGTCTCCCCGAGGAAGAAGCCGTGAGCGAAGGAAGCCGCTTCTAGCGCGCGACGGGAACGTGCGGGGGTCGCGGGTGGGGGTGGCAGAGAGGGAGCCCGGTTTGGGAGCGGCGGAGACCCCAGCGTCTGGGGAGGCAGAGGCCGAGCTCAGGCGTCGGGAGACGGAAAGGCTGCTTGAGGCGCAGCCGGGTGGTGCCGGGGCAGGGGCGAGCCCCTTGCAGGGGGCGCGAGGAACACGCGGGGTCGGGAGAGGGCCCCGCCAGAGGCGGCGAGCGGCGCGGGGTGCCGGAGGGGCGCGGTACGTGCTCGTCGGCGGCCGGCCGGCGGGAGAATTGCGGGGACCCCCGCGGGGAGGTGCGGGGGAGGTGTCCGGCGAACTTCGCAAATGGACGTGAGAGGAGGAAGCCCAACGGAGGAAGCGAGCCCCGGAAACCGAGCTCTGGATCGTGGGAAGGGGCTCCCGGGGAGGGCGGGCGAGCGTGGGAAAAGCGGACCCCGGAGGGGGCGGACGGGAGCGGCGCGCAGCCCTGCTGGGAGCCGCGAGACCCGCCCGCGCGCCGCGGGCTGGAGGAAGTGGCCGAGGGCCGAGCGAGCCGCGAGGGTCGAGGTGGGTGGGTGCGACTCCGCCTGTCGGGTGAGAAAAAATGAGCTGCTGGGGTGCGAAAGCCCCACGTGGGTGCCACGCGCGGGGGGAGGGGCCTGCGCTCCCGGAAGCGGGGAAGCTGGACCCCGCGGGCTACTGGCTCCGCGAGTCTGGACCCTGAAGCCCTAGTTCCTCTCCCCGAGGCTGGGGAAACCCCAGCGTCCGGCCACCGCGCCCTCCGCCCTCCCCTCCCTTCCTTCCCGTGCCCGGGGGGCGGGGATGGCGCGCGGAGCCTGGGGCGAGACGGGGCAGGTCGGCCCCCGCCCTCGCGGCGGCGGCGCCTCCCGCCCTCTTCACCCCGGCTGGGGGCGGAGCCGCCGCCGGCCCGGCCCGGTCGGCACCCACGCGGGGACCCGGGCGGCCCGCGAGGCCCGGAGGCTTGGGGGGCGGCCCCCTACTTTCGCTTTCTCTGTTGTGCGCGCCACTTGTGGGCCCCCAGCTCACTCATTCATACACCCCGGTTGTGACTCCGTCCAAGCGACACTCCTCCCAGCCGCGGCTCGGTCTCACCTTCTCTGCCAGACGCTGGACCCGCCTTCTGCCCTGGCGGAGGGTGCGCGCCCCTCCCAGGCCCTGCCTGTCCCCCCACTGCCACCCCTCTGCACCCCCTTTAGTCGCAGTCGCCGCGCAGGGGTCCGTCTCGCTCTCTCCAGCGCCTCCCTCTCTCAGGGTTTTCCTCCTCTACGACCTGGCCCCAAGTGCACTCACCCGCCTCCCCGTTTCCGCTTTCTCCCCATCTCTCTCCAACCTTTCCTGCGCCTCCTTTTCCTTTCCCTCTATCTCTCTCTCCCAGCCCGAGTTCTACCCTTCCTTTGGGTTTGCTGGTTACCACTGGGTGAAGATAGGGCTTATTTTCTGGGGAACCCCAGGGCTGACCGGAGAGGAATAGGGGAAGGGGCCTTCCGAGGGGGTTTCCTCTGCCCTTTCGCATCAGATTCGGTCTCTACTACTTGGACACCACCAGTGCGCAAGTCTGAACCGGTTACTAGAACTGGCAGAGGCGTTTGTGAGCCCCCTCGGCCCAGTCTCTTCCCACACTAGAAAACGGTCTTCCTAATTTTCTCCCTCTCCACCCCTGGCTATCCCTGTCTAAATGAACCTTGCCTGCTTTAGCCAGCTGATGGAGAGAATTAAGAGAGGAAGCAATTAATATAATTTAAATCATAATATAATAATCATAATATCACTTTAGCAGGAAGCAGCACAAGCTGGGGTTAAGAGCAGCCTTAGGAGCCTGGCTGTCTCCCTTTGAACTCCCCTCTCCCGCTCCTTAGCCGTGTGACCTTGTGCAAAGTGCTTACTCTCTTTGTGCCTCGGCTTCCCCATCTATAAAATGGGTATAATGATAGCATTGTGAGGCTTCAACGCCTTAACCCTTGTAAAGTGCTTTGAACCTGCCTGGCTTATAAGCGCTCTAGCTCTATGCCGACTGCCTCAGGCTTTACCTGAGGGTTTCACGTCACGCTGCCATCCTGCAGTCTCCCTGTTTTATGGATGAGCATCCGGTGGGGAGAGAGGAATTCACTGCCCACAGTTACACAGCACTTCAGTTACGAGAGTCCGGTTTGGAAGGCCGGGAGCTTGATCATTGCTGGGTCCCTGAGAATGACAGGAAACGAAGGAGGGAATAACACTCACCCAGGAGCCCAGAGCTGGAAGATAGCAGAGATGGGTCTGACCCCAGTGTCCCTGAGCCCTGTGCTGCACTTCAGTTAGCATTTGAGGCTCCAAGGGTGTGTGGGGGGGAGCAAGCCGTGAGCCCCCTGGGCGCAGGCCTCGTGTAGTGTCCCGGTGTGCCTCTTACCACACCAGGGGAGAAAAGGGCCCCGCCTGCAGAGGAAAGCAGCCCCAGGTCTCCGGTTAGAAGCGTCAGGCAGACTACCACCCAGTCCCTGCTCTTAGGCTTGGGGTGTGCCAGCCCCCTGGCCTCTGCCACACCCCTGACATCCATCTCCGCTGCTCCCTCCTAGAAATCTACAAAAAAATCAAGTCTGGCTCGCACAGCATATACATGCTCTTCAACACGTCGGAGCTCCGGGAAGCGGTGCCTGAACCCCTGCTGCTCTCCCGGGCAGAGCTGCGCCTGCAGAGGCACAAGCTGAACACGGAGCAGCGCGTGGAGCTGTACCAGGTGGGACCCGCCTCGGGGTGGGGCCGGGGCCGTGGCCGCAGGGCCCCCAGACCGAGGGCCTGCAGGGGGAGGAGCACAGAGCTTTCTGGAACTTTCAGACTCTTAGCTCCTGAGGACGGTGAACACCAGGAAGGCAGGAATCGTAGAGGAGCTGGACCGGGAGAATGCAGGATTCTTAAAAGTGGGAAGCTCCAGAAAAGCCAGAGGCTCAACCCTGCGGAGGGTGGCCGCTAGCCACAGGTGGCCACTGAAGTTGATTAAAGTTAGATGAAAGAAAACATTCAACCCCTCAGTCTCCCCGGCCAGATTTCAGGTGCCCGTTGTCACTCGTGGTTGGCGGCTGCTGGTTTGGATGCTGCAGACGAAGGACGTTCCCATGCCACAGAGTCCTCCTGGCTAGCACTGCTCTAGAAGGTTCCAGCAAGTCTGGGACCTCTGGGAGGCCTGGAGTCCCCAGAAGCGGAGGTGACCTAGAACCCATGTCCCAGGGAACACTGGTCTCGATGGCAGATATCAGACCCCTCCCAAGAGCACTTTGTTGTTAACTTCCGGGAGTCCAGAGAATTCAGGGTCCGGCTGCCAGCCCCCGGGGACCCTCCCACTGCCCGCCAGCCCTCTGCAGCATGTGCTTTGTGGCATGCCAGACGCCTGGGTGTGTAGAACATTCGTCTAGAATGTGTTAATTCTTGGGGAGCCGTGGGCCACTGGAGCTGGAAGTCCATAGGACTTCTACTACAAGCTCCCAGGAGGACAACTTTCGGAATTCCGGGTGTCTGAATTAGCTGAACTCAGGATGTCTGCTGGAGAACTGTAGCACTTCGGACTACGCAGGCCAAAGGGGACCTGGCATTTCACCCCTGAGGAGGCCTGGCAAGGAGAAAGGAATGTCCCGTGACCCTGCGGGAGTCAGGCAGAGACTGGGCACCCCCAGTGCCTTGACCTCAGTCTGGAGGACTTAACCTCCTTCTCAGTGGCACTGGGGGCAGGGGGTGGCAGCATCTACCCACTGTCTCACCCCCATTCGTTGTCCCCCAGAAATATAGCAATAATACCTGGCGCTACCTCAGCAACCGGCTACTGGCCCCCAGCGACACGCCGGAGTGGCTGTCCTTTGATGTCACTGGAGTTGTGCGGCAGTGGCTGAGCCACGGAGGTGAGGACTGCTTGTCCACCCCACTCTTTGGAAATGAGGTTGACTCCATTGTTTGTCCGGGGGCTGCCCTGCCTAGCACCCCCCACCACATGGGCGTCACGGCCGTCCTCGCAGAGAGGCTACTGACTCATCCATTTCCTGAGCACCTGCACTCTGCTGGGTGATGCTGGGGGCTGGAGACAGGACCTGAGAGTCACGTAGCAATGACCCAGAATGGGCAGGGCTAGGCTGGAGACCAGTCCAGGAGGTGCCCGCCCCAGCCCTCGGGGAGGGCTTCCTGGAGGGGGGACATCAACACTGATGTCTAAGGGCTGCGTGGACCCACGCAGGAAAGGAGGGGTGAGAGTGTGGAGGCAGTGGGACAGGCGGTGTAAAGGCCCTGAGTGCAGGGAGAAGCTGCTAGGAAGGGGCTGTCTGTCCTGGCCTGTTCCATAGCAGCCGCATCTCCCTTCCTGATCTCGCCCTTCATGACCCCATTCAGCAAATGCCCATCGATGCCAGCTCTGTCTACTCCTGTGCTAGAGATGTGTGTGGGGGCAAGAGTAAGAACCAAGATGGCGCCTCAGCTCTGCCCTCAGGAAGCCCACCGTTGCCAAGGCTTTGCAGTCATAGCTGACCTGAAGGGTCAGGACCAGGATGGGGGGTGGGGGTGGGGGCTTTGTGCTGTGGGAGCCCAGAGCAGGCAATTAGCCCCAGCTGTGGGAAGCATCAGGGAGGGCTTCCTGGAGGAAGGTGATTGTGTTGTGACTCATGGGATGAGTGGCGTTGTGGCCAGACGAGGAGATGGGGATTACGAAGCAGGAGGGCTCTGAGAGCATTTGATCCCCTGGGCAAAGGCCTGTGTGGTCACTGATGAGTCCAGAGCCGAGTCTAGAATTCGGCTTCAGGCTGCCAGAGCACCCCACACAGGGCCCAGCTAAGGTGGTCCTTCCCTCCGCTCCCCGTTTATCCCACAGCTGGCCTGTGCCTTGCAGCTTCCAGTCTGTAAAACGAGCTCTGGCTGAGGAGGACAGGTGACAGGCGCAGTGCTAAGCTCGGGGCTGGGCGCCGGGTCGGACTAAGTGCGTTGTTTTTGCGAGTCTCAGCCAGGCCCAAGAAAACAAGGACCTCTGTCCCCAGGCAGCTGCTTCCCACTGGGAAAGAGAAAGGAATAGCCAAATACGAACGCCAGGGGCGCAGTGTGGAGAAGCTAGGAGATGTGACCTTGGCGGGGGCGTATCCTGGAGGGCCTCTGTGAGGAGGTGACAGCAGCGCTGAGACTTGAAGGAGGAGGAGGCTGCAAGGCGGAGGACTGGGGAGAGGGTCCCCGGGTGGGGAGGCACCTGCTCACGCCCTCCCCTCCCCTCACTCCAGCAGCGGAAATTGAGGGCTTCCGACTCAGCGCCCACTGTTCCTGTGACAACAGCAGTAACACGCTCCAAGTGGAAATCAACGGTGAGGCCCGTCTCCTCCACCCGCCGCGTCCCACAGTGACCGTGTGCGCCGTGTCCATGTCCCTGGGGACCCCTCTGTCCCACTAGTCCATTCCTGCGTCTGCGCCTCCTCCCGCCCCTGCGCCTCACCGCCCCCCACCCCCATCCCTCCTCCCCCTGCCCACCTTCCATTCACCCACCTGAGAGCGTGTCTGCGTGTCTCCCCCACCCCCTGACTCCCAACCGAAGCAGGGTTCAGCTCCAGCCTCCGGGGGGACTTGGCCACCATTCGTGGCATGAACCGGCCCTTCGTGCTCCTCATGGCCACCCCGCTGGACAGGGCGCAGAACCTGCACAGCTCCCGGCACCGCCGAGCCCTGGACACCAACTACTGCTTCAGGTACACGCGGGGCTTCCCCGGAGGACGGCAGCCAGGCGTGATTGCTGTCGGCTGACCACACGCTTTGAGCTGGGCGCCGGCTGGTGCCGTGCCGGCCTGGCGCCTCCTTCGGCCTGCTGAGCGCGAGGGCTGAGCTCCGAGTCCTAGACCCTGGGGCCGGCAGACTGACGTCCTGCGACCCAGTTGCCTCCTTGCTGGAATGCCGGCATCAGACTTGGCGTGTTGAGCATGGACTTTGCTGGAAGTCAGGGCCGGACGGTCGCCGTGGTAGGTGAGGGGTCCACTCTCAGTTCTGGGAGCCTGGAAATGCTGGGTTTGAAGCAGGCATGTCGGAAGCCTAGAATGTAGACACTCGGAGCTGGAACATTGCCCGGCTTGGGCCTCTGCACCCAGGAAACCCTCAGAGCCACCAACTGCGCTCGGCTGAGCGCAGTGGGGTCCTGTATTGAAGTATTAGCATCAGGGGTGCAGGGGTGCAGGGGCTGTCTCTGCCCTATCACACTGCGGCCGCTGTGGCCTGAGCTCGATCCCCCACCAGGGAGTGACCCACCGGGCGCGGCAGACCTCTCCTGCCCCGCCCGCTGCTCCCCTCAGCAGTGGATTGCAGTCGATCTGCCCGTTCTGCTCCCCGCTCTGTCTGTGGGGAATCCTCTCACGCCCCACCCCCCACACCTCTGGCCTATATCCCAGTTCCTGTACACATAAATGAATAAAAAATAAGTCTTAAAAAAATTAGCATCAAATGTTGGTGCTGTGAAAAGCCAGGAGATGGGACATGGGACATGGTGTTGGGAGGCGAGGTTCCTGGAATGTGGGGTTTTAGAAAGCGGAGGCTTGTACCTCTTGAGGGACGGGCTCAGAGCTGTGGTGTTGGAATAGGGTATTGAAATACTGGAAATTAAGAAGGCCGAGGTCCTGGAGAACCAGAAGGGGAGAGTGAGCACGCTGCAAACGCTGTGGGAGGGCTGGAGTCCTGAGATGCTGGAGCAGAACACTGGTAGGGAGGATTACTGGGGCCTCCGAGTGGCCTAGGGGTTAACCCCGGCGCTGTCACCAGCACGGCCTGCGTTCAGTCCCCGGCTGATCCCCAGCCAGGGAGGGACCCACAAGGCGCCGCAGACCTCTCCTGTCTCCCCACTGCTCCCCTCAGCAGTGTCTTTCAGTCACTCCACCTGTTCTGCTCCCCACTCTGTCTCTGGTGAATCCTCTCAACAACCACCTGCCCCCCACACACACTCCCATACCTCTGGCCTACACCTTAGTTTTTCTTTTTCTATTATTTTAATTT